TGGGCCCTCAGGCATAATTTTAAAGTCAAGGATATAGGATGGAAAACAGTAATAGAGTGAGGGCTATACACTGCACTGTGGCTGCCCCACAAACCCTCCCCACCCCACCCCAACCCCAGGATGCCAGTAGCCAGGCATCTATCAACGCCACTTTCCCTCCTGGGAAAATAGAAAAGTCTCTGGAGGCCCTGAGGACCCCAGAAGGAAGAAAAACACCTCCTCTGACTGACAATTTTTAGTTCCTCAGTGAAGACTACTCTTGCCTCATAAAGAAATTTCTAAAAATTGAAGGTCACAGCTCCTCATTAAAAGAGCCCGCTGAGGGCCTTGCATAATAAATGAAAAGACCTGCACCAAGGCCTATCATCATACAATTTCGGAAGAGGTTTTTAAAAAATATCGAGAGTGAAAAAAGAGCCCAAGCCTGTTTGGCTCGATGGATAGAGTGTTGGCCTGTGGACTGAAGGATCCCAGTTTGATTCCAATCAAGGGCACATGCAGGGGTTGTAGGCTTAATCCCCAATGGGAAGCGTATAGGAGGCAGCCGATCAGTGATCCTCTCTCATCATTGATGTTTCAATCTCTCCCTCTCCCTTCCTCTCTCTGAAATCAATAAAAATATTTTTTAAATGCCATAATTTTTTTAAAAAAAACAAGCCATCCAAAACCGGTTTGCCTCAGTGGATAGAACGTCGGCCTGCAGATTGACCCGGGTTCAATTCTGGTCAATGGCATGTACCCTGGTTGCAGGCACATCCCCAGTAGGAGACTGTGCAGGAGGCAGCTGATCGATGTTTCCCTCTCATTGATGTTTCTAACTCTCTATCCCTTTCTCTTCCTCTCTGTAAAAAAACAATAAAATATATATATATTTAAAAAGACTTTTAACAAAAAATAAAATAACAAGCCAGAGACATACCGTAGGCACAAGAGTCAAAATGAAGTCAGACGTCTCAACAGCAACACTGGGGAGGTTAAATCAAAGGGAAGCTTATTTCATATATATATATATATATATATATATATATATACACACACACACACACATATATGTATGTATATATACACATATATATATATTAAATAAGCTTCCCTGCACTGGGCTTCTAATATATGTATTTCATATATATATTAGAAGCCCAGTGCACAGATCTGTGCCAGGGAGGGATCACAGGAGGACTCCAGGGCATGTCCGTCCTGTCTCACCCAGTCCCTATCCACTGGACCCCAGCAGCAAGCTGATCTACTGGTCGGAATGTCTACCTCTTGTGGTCAGTGCACATCATAGCAATTGCTCGAACAGTCAAACATTTAGTATATTAGGTTTTTATTATATAGGATATAATAAAAATTGTGAGTCAGTGGAGGTGTTTTTCTATTTAGAGAGAGATTTCAGAGAGGAAGGGAGAGGGGGAGAGAGAGAGAAAAATCATTGATGAGAGAGAATCATTGATCAGCTGCCTCCTGCACGCCTCAACCTCGACTCAGGATCCAGCCTGAAACCCCAACATGTACCCCGACCTAGAATTAAACTGTGACCTTCTGGTTCGTAGGTCAACACTCAAACACTGAGCCATGCCAGCTGGGCCCAGGGAGGCTTATTTCTAACATGAAATTATACACCCAACCAATCTAACATGAGGCCAAAAATATTTTCAGACTTCCAAGGACCCCCAGAAAAAAAATATTTTTCATTTCTTAGGAAGCTACTAGAGAACGTGCTTCAACAAAGAGAGTGTAAACCAATAAGGAAGATGAGATGAATCCAGAAAATGGGGCAATCAACAGAGAAAGAATACTGGCAAAAGGAAGTCCCAGGGCATTGGTGCACCAGGCTTAGTAAGCAATGGGTCCAAATGAGCAAAAGACAGTGGGCAGAACTCTCCAGGGAAAAGATGGAACTGATCAGTTAGGACTGAACATTTGGAAAAGTTATTGCTACATGTTTGATACATTTGGAAGAAAATAGCTCCCGGTGCATTGAAAATTAAGCACTTGGAAAAAAGAAATTAACTCCAGGTGAAACCAATTTATAAGAGACAGAAAATCTAATAGGTTACAGCTTGAATGCACAGTGTTGATTTGGCCAATAATGTAAACATTAACTATTGATTTAACTATAAATTGTGGGAAACTATAGTATTGTGAGGACAAGGGAATAAAAATAGGGGTTAGAGAGGTACAAGAGCTATTTCCTCAACTGCCAGGATATACATATTCTCTAAAATTGACAAATCAAATAACAGCAGTGTGCATGTTTGCTAGACCCTACCCATAGCAAAGCACCACTACAGACTGAATTAAACAGCAGAAACTTATTATCTCTGTTCTGGAAGCTCCGAGCAAGGTGTTCGAGATCAAGTGTTACAGGGCGGTTTTCTTCTGTGACCTCTCTCCTTGGCTTGTGGCTGGCTGACTTCTGTTGTCTTCCCATGATCTTCCCTCGGTGAGTCTGTGCCCTAATCTATATATTTAAAAGCATAATATGCAACACCTTTGGGAGTTCAAGCTATCGGGGGTTCAATCGCTATGACGTGCACTGACCACCACGGGGAGGCGCAGACCTAAGGAGGGCCCCGACCAGGGGCTGGCAGCTGCTGGGGACCCTACCCATGCATGGATTTCGTGTATGGGGCCTCTAGTATTTTATAAGGACACAAGTTATATTGGGTTAGGATCCACCCTAATGACCTCATTTTAACTTAATTACCTCTTTAAAGATCCCTATCTCCACACACAGTCACATTCTGAGGTACTGAATGTTAGGGGATGAGGGGGACACAACTCAGTCCCATACCAAGTAGTATAAACTCATTATTTGGGATTATAAAGTAAACAAGAAATAGCCAACAGAATTGAAAGTGGCTGCCTGCCTCTGGAGTCCTGGAGGATAGCAAGGAATAAGGCAGATGCTATCGATGTTTTACTATAGCAAGTGGGGAGCTGGACCTTGAACCCGGCCTGATGTCAAATCTGGTGTTCTTCACTCTGCCACAAGATCTGGAGTTCCTCCAGGGCCCTGGCTGTGCCGTCTTCATCTCTGCATCTCCCACGGCAACCTCGCATGGCGCCATGTGAGGGCCTTCACTGCATAGTCACTGACTTAGAGCTGTATCACTGTGATCTTCCATGCTGCCACTGGTTTGTTTTCCGTCTTGAAAAAGAAGACGGAGAAGATGGAGATTCAGAGGAACCTCGAGTGGCCATAAGATCCAGCTGAAAGTTTCCTGCAATAGCACTTTGAGTTTTGACCCTAGAATGGGACCATCCACAGCAGGGCAGGGACACCAGGTGCTTTTCTGCCAACGAAGCTAATGGTGATGTTTCAACGGTTCCTCCATGAGGTCCAGAACAGCCGCTCACCCCCATTTTCTTGAGGCCGGTTTGGCTGTTGAAGATGGCCATGGGCTCTGAGAGTTATTCTCAGACATAGGGCTGTAATATTATTCACAGTGAGTGAGGCATGATCCCGTGAAGGGTTTTGGTCGTTTTTGTGTTTAGGTTGGTCCACAGTTATTCCTCTGGCTGTTGTTCAGGCTGACAGGATCCCAGGATTGTCTCTGTCCCGGAGGCTACATGACGCCCTTCCTGGGAGCACACGTCCCGTGTCCTCTGGGGATGGGAGGAGGATGGTGTGTATGTCTGTCCGTCTCAGCATGCTTCAGATTATTGCTTCCTCATAAAATCCTGATAGCTGGGCCCCATCAATATCTCAAATACATGTGAGGAAACGTTAATTTAGAATCAATTTTAGGGTGTTTCAGACTGTAAAGTCCTTTTAACTAGATCTCTGGCAAAGATGTAGAAGCACTTTATGGGACTGTAAATTTCATGTTGAACTGTCTTCGTGAAATACACATCTCCCCTACACACAAGCTGTTCCCTCCATATCAATCATGGCCACTGCAAGTAATGTTTCACAAATATTCTGTAAATCACAGAAAACCCCATGATAATGTGAAATATGACTTTCACTTGTCTGTTAGACAAAAGAATCACACATGCCTCTCTCCCATCAGCACTAACATTTGTTATGGATAATAACACTTTCAATCACAACTATTTTTGGAAAACGGGTTTATTTTAAGCCTTCCCTCCCCCCTACTGAAAACACTCTCCCAAGGACACAGGCTCCTACAAACCACAGCCCATTAATCCAACTATGGAATGGGAACTTTTTCTTTCCACTAACTTTGTTTAAAGTTGTTTTTAAAACTGGCTGGGTGGCTCAGTTAGTTGGTTGGAAAAGTTGCAGGTTCGATCCCCAGTTGGGGCATAAACAGAGAGGCAACCGATAGATGTTCTCACTCACATCAATGTTTCTCTCTCTCTCTCTCCCTTTCTCTCTCTCTCTAAAATCATCGTCCCGTACACCGGAAGGTTTCAGGTTTGATCGCTGGTTGGGGCACCTACAGAAGACAAATCAGTGTTTTTCTCCTCCCTCTAAGCATATCCTCGGGTGGGGATTTAAAAAATAAACTAAAAACATATCCTCAGGTGAGGATTTTTTTAAAAGTTGTTTTGAAGAGAATTAGTATAAAAGCCCAAGGTACAAGGTTATGGAACACTTAAGAGGAGGACAGGTCTCTAAAGTCCCTAAATCGCTGACCCTCTGTGAAGTGACGATCAGACAGGTCCAGGATTTTATCAAGCGCCTTCATCTCAGCTGGAGCCTGTGGTCCTTTTAGTTGCCGGCATCAGCAAAGATGCCAAAGAGCTACAATTTTAGCCCTTCAATTTGAGGCCGGCATTTACCTTGATATTTGTCGTTCCATTATAGCACAGCTAGAGCTTCCCTGTTGGAGCAGCAGGCGACCAGTCGTAGAGCTGTATTTGTAATGTCACTGTATCCGTGTGGGTGACAGAGGCTCACCGGTTTCCGGTCGGTTGCCTGAAGAGCGAAGCCCCTGGAGTAGCCTGCAGGACTCGCCTGGTCCTGAGCACTTCGGTAACCTGTCTGTTTTCCTTCCCTCCGTAGCCAACTCCAGGACTGATTGATGATGACTTCCATAAAGGAGCAGGCAGCAATTAGCCGGCTCCTGAGTTTTTTACAGGATTGGGACAATGCTGGAAAAGCCGCAAGGAGTCACATCCTTGACAACTTCATTGAAAACAACCAAGGCAAGACGGCCCCTGAGCTGGAGCAAGAGTTTTCCCAGGGAGCCAGCCTGTTCCTGGTACGCTTGACCACCTGGCTGAGACTCACGTATCCTTTGCTGAACAGGAGAGAGAAAAAGAAAACAAAAACAAAACATAGGCCATCTTCAAAAGAAAAAAGGAGAGGCGATTATTGAGGGAGCTCTTTTCTCCATGCTAAGATTTTAAAACAGGACATCTGGTGGTCAGATATCATCCAGAAATCAAGAACTCTCTTAATTTCTTATCTTTCCAACCTATAAATATATTCCTCATCTCACTCCTAACCTCTTTCGTGCCCATCAGAGTTAAAGTCGGTATTCCTTCCCTCTGGAACTAATCCTCTATTAGTATTGCACTTGAATCCCCTCCTATCTCCTTAGCGACTGTATTCTTTCTCTGCTATAGTTTCCACCTTTGCCTCATCACCAGATTTTTTTTTTAATATATTTTCATTGATTTCAGAATGGAAGGAAGAGGGGGAGAGAGAAACATCAATGATGAGAGAGAATCATTGATTAGCTGCTGCCTGCATGCCCCCTACTGGGGATTGAGCCCACAACCTGGGCATGTGGTCTTGCTAGAATTGAACCCAGGACCCTTCAGTCAGCAGGCCAATTCTCTATCCACTGAGCCAAACCAGCGAAGGCTCAAAACCCTAGTTAATTGAACTTCTAGAATATATGAATGAAACTAAGGATTTGTATATTATAGTGACAAAACTATTAGTTGCCATTTATTGAGTCTTTTTCTAGGCACTAAGTTATGCGCTGTACAAATATTATTGAATTTGAACCTAACACCAAGCCTACTAAGTGATTGGTATTATCCCATTTTATAGATAAGAAAGATGAACCTTTATTTTTTTATATTTTATTGATTTTTTATAGAGAGGAAGAGAGAGGGATAGAGAATTAGAAACAAAGATCAGCTGCCTCCTGCACACCCCCTTACTGGGGATGTGGCCACAACCAAGGTACATGCCCTTGACCGGAATCAAACCTGGGACCTTTCAGTCCGCAGGTCAGCGCTCTATCCACTGAGCCAAACCGGTTTGGGCAGAAAGATGAACCTTTAAAAGGTTGAATAATTGACTGGTAAGTGGCAGAGATAAGGTTTGACAGGTCTGTCTGGCCCAAAGCCCACATGCCATCTTCTCAACTTTAGTGTCTCCCACCCAGTGGACAGTGCAGAGCCTCAGCTCCCCCTCTAACACTGTACAAGGAGTAATCTAGCCCCACTCCCTCCACCTGCCTTCAAGCAGGTAGACCTGACTATAAGAACTCAGACTCTGAGTGAGACTTGCCTCAGTTCATATCCTGGTTCCATCATTTAACATTGGGACCTTGAGCAGGTCATTAACCTGTCTGAGATTGTTTGCTCATGAAGTGAATGGAAATACCACCTGGCCAGTGTGGCTCAGTGGTTGAGCGTCAACCTATGAACCAGGAGGTCACAGTTCAATTCCCGGTCAGAGCACATGCCTGGGTTGAGGGCTCAATCCCCATTGTGGGGCGTGCAGGAGGCAGCTGATCAATGATTCTCATCATTGATGTTTCTATCTCTCCCTCTCCCTTCCTCTCTGTAAAAAATCAATAAAATATATTTTTTTAAAGAAAGAAAGAAAAAGAAAGAAAGAAAGAAAGAAAGAAAGGAAGGAAGGAAGGAAGGAAGGAAGGAAGGAAGGAAGGAAGGAAGGAAGGAAGGAAGGAAGGAAGGAAGGAAAGGAAAGGAAGGAAGGAAGGAAGGGAAGGAAGGAAGGAAGGAAGGAAGGAAGGAAGGAAGGAAGGAAGGAAGGAAGGAAGGAAGGAAGAAAGAAAGAAAGAAGAGAGGGAGGGAGGGAGGGAGGGAGGGAGGGAGGGAGGGAAGGAGGGAAGAAAGAAAGAAAAAAAGAAAGAAAGAAAGAAAGAAAGAAAGAAAGAAAGAAAGAAAGAAAGAAAGAAAGAAAGAAAGAAAGAAAGAAAGAAAGAAAGAAAGAAAGAAGAAAGATATAGCACCCACTAATAGCACCCACTACAAGGTGTGCTGAGCATTCAAATGAGACAATGCAAACAAAGTCATTAGCAAAGTCAAATGCTTTGCATTTGTTAGCTACCGCTGGTATTGTGGCAGGCTTCTGGAACTCATTGCTGAAATAATGGACCAGGAATGCCTAGATTTCAGCTAATTTCTTAAGTGTTCTAAAAGCCTGTGACATGTGATGAGTGTCTGTGAGCATAGGACTTGCCTGGGACAGGGGAAACAGGAGATGATGGAAGTTGGTCAGCCTAGCTGGTAACTGAAGAAGAGGGGAAATGCACTGGGGCAGGAATGAGGGCTGGGTTCGGGGGAGCAGGGGGCGGACAAGGTAGGAATGGAGAGACTACCGTGAGAGCTGATAGTCAGGCCCCCAGCTATAGTGGCAACAGGCAGAAGCAAACACTGTTTCTGTAGTAAAGAGCCTTTCCTAATGAGCCAATCTGTCTCTACGTCTATGGGCTCCCTGGGAACCACAGATAATTTGCCTCATGCACCCTCCACCCCCCCCAACAAAGCACCATTACCTCCAACCCGTTACATTAGCCTTTATCAGTCTTGGAAGCTCTCAGTTATCCTCCATGAGCTGCAATAATTCCAGCTAATTTCTTAAGTGTTCTAAGAGCCTGTGATGTGTGATGAGCCTAGTAATTGTTGACTGGTTCCTTTTCTGTCGCGGTTTGATTTCATACCTTGTATCCAAGCTGATGCGTGCTCCGGGTGCTTTATTACAATGAAGCTTTTTGCAAGGGCTCACATTAAAAATAACATTAAATACTGAGGTTGTTTTAAATCAGAGTTTAATTTTTCTGCTACCTCCTGTTGTTCTTATTAGGAAGACATGCAATTCTTCATAAAGATAGTGACCTCCAGTGTAAAGCTTTGAGTAAGTACAAAACTGGGAATTAATGATGAAGCTGATTGTTTTTAGAGAAGTCTAAAAATGAGGCGCAAAGTAATGAACTGTGCTGAGACCCAAGGGTGCAATGGTCAGGGCAGAGAGAGGCTTTCTCCAGAGACAGGCTTTATTCATCAGCGCCTCCTTGCTCTCTAGATAGCCTATCAGAGCCAAGGTGGCCGAACTCTCCCAGAAGAGCTTCCTGGAGAACCATGACCATGCCTACCAGCACCCTGCTCCCTACCCCACATGTGTCACCCCTTCTCCCACCTAGTGGCCCTTCTCAGATAAAAGGTCATTCTGGGTCACCCTAGGTCATTGATGGTGCCAGTGACCAGACACAAGATCTGGTTTCTGTGTGGAAAAACACCCTGAAATCCACTCTTTAACTTGTCATTCAGCTATATGACCAGCTCAAGCTTAGAGAAGGTTTTAAAGTCCATTGGCATCTTCTTAGCATCTGTAAACAGGTAAGTTCTGTTCGGGAGAGATTCTGGGTTCTCTGCTGCATATCGTGCTCATGGTGTCCTTGGCATCCGCACCAGAGGGGACCAGGGCTTCTAGTTATCTCTGGTACCTATTAGCCCCCAGGATGGCCCCGGGGTATGTCAGCTGTGCTCCTGTTCTAGCTGCTCCTCCATCCCATGTTCTCCATTGACCCTTTACTAGTCAGCATCCCTTTGGTTGTGAAATACAGAAAATCAACTCATACTGGACCAGGGCAAAGGGCCATTTATTAGCTCACTTACTTGAAAAGCCAGAGGGTAGAAATCCATATTTCAGTCCAAACTAGATTCAGGGGTTCAACATATGTCATTGGTACTTGGTCTTTTCCTCTCTTTTTCTCCGTTTCTCAGCCCTGTTTGCCTCTGAATTTGTAAGCCTCATTGTGCTGTGATCCTTAGAAGCTTTAGGCATGCATCTTTGTAACTCAACCACACACCAAGAAGAAAGCACATCTTTCCCACGGGTTCCCAAGAAAGTCTCGGGTTTTGAACCTCAATGGACCAGCTCAGGGCACACACCCGACCCCAAACCAGTGACTACAGTCGGAAAGATGACATACCCTGTCACCTGCTTACCCTACCACAACCACATGGCTTCTGAGGGGTAGAGGGATGATTCCCCAAGGAACAGGTGAGCTGCTACTACAAGAAAAAGAACAGCCAAAACCGGTTTGGCTCAATGGATAGAGCGTTGGCTTGGGGACTGAAGGGTCCCGGGTTCGATTCCGGTCAAGGGCACGTATGTTGGTTGCGGGCATATCCACAGTAGGGGGTGTGCAAGAGGCAGCTGATCGATGACTCTCTCTATCAATGTTTCTAACTCTGTATCTCTCTCCCTTCCTCTCTGTACAAAATCAATAAAATATTTTTTTTAAAAAGAAAAAGAATAGGTGTTAGAAAACCAAACACAAGAAATATTCATCGTATTGAACTTGCTAAGTGCAAAAGGAAGAATTTCCCAACTATTATGTCACTTTACCCATGAGCATTTCCTGAATAGGAGGGCAAAGTATGTGAAGGAAGCACCTTAGAAAGGTTAGTGCCAAGGGACTCGACAAGTGTCTTATTTATACTCTTCTATCCCTCTGGACAGTAACCGGTACCTTATAGAATTTCTTGAGGTTGGAGGCGTCCTAACACTCTTGGAAATACTGGGGCTGGAGAAGATCAAAGAGACGGACAAGAAGGAATCCATCAAGCTACTTCAGGTTATCGCAAACTGTGGTAGGAAGTACAAGGAGCTCATTTGTGAAAGCTATGGTGGGTACTGCGTATGACAAGGGGGATCTCCCGTGTCTGCTTCGGGGTCTGGGGGAAGCAGTGGCAGACCCATCACGGTGGCGGGAAAGCGTGCCGCGGAACTAGCTGCACTGCAAGCATGTGGTCCAGTAGACTCCGTTAGCTCCCGCCCATATCGCCACCCCAGGCCCAGATTTATGATTTTCCTGATTCATCACCTGCTCAAATCTTCCTACTGTGGTTTTAGAAACACTTTTTCCATTTTAAATATATCCCTTTACATGCATCCATTCAACAAAGATTTATCGAGCTATTGCCTAAAATCCTTTGTGAAACCAACTTATGAATAACTCTAGAAATAAAGTTGAAATAAAATAATTGAATGTGAGTGCTAGGTACATGCTAATGTGCTGGGAACACAAAGATGAATAAAATACAGTCCCTGCCAAAGAGCTTACAATGTGGTGAAAAAAAGTATATAATCCGGGATTTTCAGTATGATCGATCAAATGTTCTGACTAAGGCGAGTAAAAGAGATGCCATCCCGTAAGCATCCCTTTGTCAAAGCACTTCCCTTGTTGCACTATTTTGTTGTTGTTGTTGTTGTTGTTGTTGTTGTTGTTAAACCTAACCCAAGGATATTTTTTTCCATTGACTTTTTTAGGGAGAGTGTAAGAGAGAGGGAAAGACAGAGAAAAACATCGATGTGCACATCGATTGGTCGCCTCCTGCACGAGCCCTGACCAGGGCCTGGGCCAGGGAGGAACCTGAAACCAAGGAATCAAATCCTTTGGTCCACACGCCTACGCTCTATCCACTGAGCCAAACCAGCTAGGGCCCTCATTGCACTTTAGTCATAGTTCTCTGTGTATCCCCCATGGCCTCTCTGAGCCTCAGGATATTTATCCATAAAATGGGACTAACATCTCCCTTTCACTATCATTTCTAGGATTAAAGGACATAGTATTTGTGAAAATATTTTATAAACTCTGAGCACTAAGCATATGTTAGTTATCACATAGCCATCAAAATGCATGTTTTATTTGTGCATTTGCAGAGCCATTTTATTTTTTTTTAATATATTTTATTGATTTTCCACAGAGAGGAAGGGAGAGGGATAGAGAGCCAGAAACATCGATGAGAGAGAAACATCGACCAGCTGCCTCTTGCACACCCCCCACCGGGGATGCGCCCGCAACCCATGTACATGCCCTTGACCGGAATCGAACCTGGGACCCTTCAGTCCGTAGACCAACACTCTATCCACTGAGCCAAACCGGTTTCGGCAGCCATTTTAAATTTTAAAACACTTTGAGAAGCTGAGATGCTTATACTGAAACAAAATCCTCCAGCCACATAGCCAGAAGTGAACAAGACAATGATGCAACATGAAGCTAAGCCTCAACTTTGCTCTGATTGAATGGGCTTGGTTAAATACATCTTAATCCTATTACCTTGTGTTGTGTAATCTTTCTTTAAACTAGAGTTTATCAGGGTATAGGTTTCAAGTGTACAAGTCAGTAAAACATCTGCCCACTGCATCGTGTGCCCATCACCCCAAGCCAAGTCTCTCTCCCTCCCCATTTTTCCCCACCATCGCCCACCTCCAGCTACCCTCCACCCCTTTTCCCTCTGGCCAGCACCACACTGTTGTCTATGTCTATGTGTTAGACATATATATATATTTTATTTATTTATTTATTTATTTATTTATTTATTTATTTATTTTGCTTAATCCCTTCACCTTCTTTCATCCAATGTTATGTAATCTTGAGTGAGGATTGCTTTCACAAATCCAATTTAGCATTTCCTCTCCTTTTTGCTCAGGTGTACGATCCATAGCGGAATTTTTGGCAACGTCTAAGTCAGAAGAGACCCAGGAGCAAGTGCAGGTTCTGCTGAATGCTTTGGTCCACGGTAATCCCAAGTACCAGAATCAAGTGTACAAAGGTCTAATAGCTCTACTGCCCTCTGTGTCTCCGAAAGCTCAGCAGCTGGCCCTGCAGACGCTCAGGACTGCCCAGGTGAGCCCGGGCTGCACGCTCCTGCGGTTCTGATTACACACAGTGACCTTACAATTACCTTCCGCAGCCGCCCTCCATGCAGGCATGAGAAACGGAGCCCAGCCTCCCACTGCACGTGTGCTGTTCAATCAGAGTTGCTTCTAGAAGGCCAAGGCCGGGCAGAGAGTTCACGTCTCCCGTCAGTGTGATTTGTCCTGTTTACTTAAGGATCAGAAAGATGTTGGCAGACTTAAAAGTGTTTGCGACAAGCAACAAGGATCATGAAAGGACTGCAGAAAAGATTAAAGGAGTCTGTTTGGTAGGGAAGGAATCCCAGGGCGTTTGTAGGTAGTGTGGAAGTGAAGAGACCACATCTCCGGTGCTTAGGAAAACTCCTCTGTTTCTTGGGCTCTGCCTTCCTCTCAGACAGTACCCTGGAATGTGAGCAGCGTCAGATTTGGGGCATGGTGACCGCTGAAACCGGTTTGGCTCAGTAGATAGAGCGTCGGCCTGTGGACTCAAGGGTCCCAGGTTCGATTCCAGTCAAGGGCATGTACCTTGGTTGCGGGCACATCCCCAGTGTGAGGTGTGCTGGAGGCAGTTGATTGATGTTTCTCTCTCATCGATGTTTCTAACTCTCTCTCCTTCTCCCTTCCTCTCTGTTAAAAAATCATATATATTTTAAAGGGAATTCGAGATTCAAAGAATGGTTTTGGGATGAACTGTCAAAAGCTCTCAAAACAGCTCTTGGATGGGCTGGAGGCAGGGGATCAAAGAGATGGTAAGGCCTGAACTGTGGCAGTGGGAATACAGGTGAGCAGGTTGGACAGACATTTTGGAGGCAGAATGCATGGAACTTGGGGCAGTAAGAGGAAAGGAGTCAAAAAAGACACCCAGCTTTGGACTTAGACAGCAGGGTGAGTTGTGTGCCACCTAGATAGTGGGGAAACTTGTTTCATTTGAAAAGAGTTAGGTTTTGACTCAATAAATGTGATGAGTTTGGTGGCTCCATCTGAGGAGCAGGCCAAGCTGGTTACAGAAGATATAGAGAAGTCACTTGTTTAAAAGATACTTAATCCTGAGCCTCCCTCCCATATAATCTGACAGCTCTCAGCCAGCCTGTAGGAATGCGTTTTCTTGGTAAACTCCCCAAGTAATTCTGATTCCTAGCTCAACTGAGGAATCACTGTTCAGAATCTAGTAGAGATGCCCATTAGACAGCAGAAAATAAAAGGCTGAAGCTGCAGAGAGATACTGTAGGTGAGGACAGCAGTTTGAATTTCATGAGCAGAGAAGTGATAACAAACGATGAAAGTAATTAAGATCACAAGGTAAAATGTAAAAAGTAAGACGAGAGGCCTGGCTGGTGTGGCTCAGTTGGTTGGAACGTCATCCAGTACACGGAAGGGTTGTGGATTCCATTCCCAGTCAGAACACAGGCACATGTACGGGAAGGCAGCTGATAGATGTTTCTCTCTCACATTGATGTTTCTCTCTCGCTCTCACTCTTGCTCTCACTCTCTCTTGCTCTCGCATTCTCTCTCTCTCTCTCTCTCTCTCTCTCTCTCTCTCTCATTATTAAGTGCCTCCTACATGCCAGGCACTGTGTTAGGGGCCCACATAGACTACCTCTTTAGACTACCTCTTTGTGTCTCCATAATAGCTGATGGAGGCAGGTATTATTCTCCCCATTTCAAAATATGTTTTTATTGATTTTAGAGAGAGAGGAAGGGAAAGACATAGAGAGATAGGAACACTGAAGAGGGAGAAACATTGATCAGCTGCCTCCTGCATGCCCCCTACTGGATATCAAGCCTGCAATCAAACCAGTGACCTCTTGGTTCATGGGTCAGTGCTCAACCACTGAGCCACACTGGCTGGGCTATTATCCCCACTTTAAAGAGGATGGAACTGAGCCAAAGGAGGGTGCTTCTTTTTTTTTCTTTTTCTTTTTTTTAAAAAATATATTTTATTGATTTTTTACAGAGAGGAAGGGAGAGAGAGAGAGAGAGCTAGAAACGTCGATGAGAGAGAAACATCGACCAGCTGCCTCCTGCACAGCCCCCACCGGGGATGTGCCCACAACCAACATACATGCCCCTGACCGGAATCGAACCCGGGACCAATCAGTTCGCAGAACGACACTCTACCACTGAGCCAAACCGGTTTCGGCTAGGAGGGTGCTTCTTAATTATTCAAGGCCACACACTAAGTGATAGGTATTTACTTTTTAAAGTATTTCTTTTTTTATATGTTTTTATTGATTTCAGAAAAGAAGGGAGAGGGAGAAAGAGATAGAAACATCAATGATGAGAGAGAATCATTGGTTAGTTGCCTCCTGCATGCCTCCCACTAGGAATGGAGCCCACAACCCAGGCATGTGCCCTTGATCGGAATCAAACCCGGGACTCTTCAGTCTGCAGGCTGACATTCTATCCACCGAGCCAAACTATAGTGGGCATTTAAATACAGTTCTCTTGAACTGCAGAATCCTTATTCTTTTGACATCTTCTTTGCCTCTTTGAAAAAAGAACAACCCTGGCTGGGTAGCTTATTTGTTTAGAGCAACATCATATGATATGCCAAGGTTATTAGTTCAATCCCGTTAGGCCACACACAAGAATCAATCAATGGCCGAAGCCGGTTTGCCTCAGTGGAAGAGCGTCGGCCTGGGGACTGAAGGGTCCCGGGTTCGATTCTGGTCAAGGGCATGTACCTCGATTGCGGGCACATCCCCAGTGGGGGGGTGCAGGAGGCGGCTGGTCAATGTTTCTCTCTCATCGACGTTTCTAACTCTCTATCCCTTTCAACTCCTCTCTGTGTAAAATCAATAAAATATATTTTTTTAAAAAAAGAATCAATCAATGAATATATAAATAAGTGGAACAACAAATTGATGTTTCTCTCTCTCTCTCAAATTTAAAAAAAAAAAAAAAAGAATGGTGAAAGCCATGAAAGGAAAACAGGACTGTGATAATCAAGGAGAAAAAACTTCATTCAATAAGGAAGATCCGATGGGTTGAATACAACAGAGAGATTAAGTACGGGGAGAACCAAAAAAGGGTCCCAGCAGGAAAAGCGTTGGTGAACTAGGGCACTGTCCTATGGCAGGGAAATTAAATTGCAGTGGCCTGTCAGAGGATGAAGAGGCTTTCCTTGGGAAGCTTGGGAGTAAAGGGAAAAGAGCAACAGCAAGAGAAGACAGAGGGGAAGCACAGGAGGGTCGATCCGGGTGAGCTTGAGGATGTTCAATGCTAACGGGCAGGAACCAATGCACCAGTAAAGGTTGAAGACGTAGAAAATAGGGGTTCCCTAATTGAGTGAGGTCCCTAGGGGAAAAGAAGATTTCGGATCACTCTCCCTGGTGTATGCCCGCCCTCCCCCCAGCCAAGGTAGCCAGCTTTCTCCTGCATCTCTAGCAGGTGGCCAGCTAGCCTCAACTGAACGCCTCCTGAGCTGGATGCTTCAGTGGCAACCTCGGCAGATTCCCAGTCAATTCTTGGCTGCCCGGCCCTGCCCTCCTCTGAGGGGCCAAGCCCCAGTGACTGCCCACTGCCCTCACTCTCCCCATTCAGCCAGGCTGCCTAGCTATTTGGAAGGCTGCCTTTCATTCCTCCCGGATGGACAAGATGTAAAGGGTAACCACCCTGTCCTTTCTGTCTTGCCAGTCGATCATCGGAGCCACACACCCCAGCATCGTGGACTGCGTGCTGAACGTGCTGCGCACCATGCACCTGGAAGTCCAGTATGAAGGTAGGCGAGGCGGCCGGGTCTGCCCCGCGTCGCAGGAGGTGGCAGTGAGAGCGAGGCACCTTCCCTCTTAAAAGTTCTCCCCCGTTCACAAAGAGCCTTGTCCGATGGAATGTTGATTCAGGACTGATGGTCAAGTTATTCAGAAAATGACAGTTACTTCTGTACTTCCAATCAGCCATATGGCGCTTTCACAGTTGTCCAGGATCTGCCTGGGTCCAGAGCTGGCTCTGGTTCCCAGTCAAGGGGTGCTTCCCCTCTCAACAGAAATCACCTGAGCACTGTCCTTCTAGGAAACGACAGTAGGTGTCTGCATATTCAGATGGATGAATGGTGGGGGCAGGTATTTCTACGTGTTTCAGGCTAAAGCATTGAAGCACAGAGAGATTATGCCTTCCGAGGTTAGCCAGCTAACTAGATTCAAACCAGATCTGTCTGACTCCAAAGCATATGCTTTTAACTGTAGCACATGGCAGGTATCTGCAGGATGTTATTCCCTTCCCTGTTCCTGTAAAGCAGTGGTCGGCAAACTCATTAGTCAGCAGAGCCAAATATCAACAGGACAATGACTGAAATTCCTTTTGAGAGCCAAATTTTTTAAACTTAAACTTCTTCTAATGCCACTTCTTCAAAATAGACTCGCCCAGGCTGTAGTATTTTGTGGAAGAGCCACACTCAAGGGGCCAAAGAGCCTCATGTGGCTCGCGAGCAGCAGTTTGCCGACCATGGCTATAGTGATTCAGAGAAGGGAGGTTCTGCTTTCAACAGGAAGGTTCAAGAGAAAGTGGTGTCTAGCCAGGACCGGTTTGGCTCAGTGGATAGAGCGTCGGCCTGAGGACTGAAAGGTCCCGGGTTCGATTCCGGTCAAGGGCATGTACCTTGGTTGTGGGCACATCCCCAGTAGGGGGTGTATAATAGGCAGCTGATTGATGATTCTATCTCATCGATGTTTCTAACTCTCTATCCCTCTCTTCCTCTCTGTAAAATATCAATAAAATATATATATTAAAAATAATGAAAATAAAAAGAGAAAGTGGTGTCTGAGCTGAGTCTTCAGCATGGGAAGAGTTAGGAAAGCAGACAGGAGCAGAGGAGGACATTCTGGAAAGTGGAATGGCATAAATGAAGGCCTAGACAGTGGGAAAAGCAGGGCGTATGTGGGGAATGACAGGTAGACCATTAGGTGGAGGTTTGGCAGAGGCCTTGGTCTAGGAAGACTAGAAAGGTAGGCTGGGACCAGATTACACAGCACCCTGAGTGCCAGACGGAGGAGTGGGCACTCTTTCCAGTCAGCAGCAGGAAGCCATTGAAAAGTGGACCATAGCCGAAACCGGTTTGGCTCAGTGGTAGAGCGTCGGCTTGGGGACTCAAGGGACCCGGGTTCAATTCCGGTCAAGGGCATGTACCTTGGTTGTGGGCATATCCCCAGTAGGGGGTGTGCAAGAGGCAGCTGATCGATGACTCTCTCTCATCGATGTTTCTTTTTTTTTTTTTTTTTAAATATATTTTATTGATTTTTTACAGAGAGGAAGGGAGAGAGATAGAGAGCTAGAAACGTCGATGAGAGAGAAACATCAACCAGCTGCCTCTTGCACACCCCCTATCGGGGATGTGCCCGCAGCCAACATACATGCCCCTGACCGGAATCGAACCCGGGACCTTTCAGTCCACAGACCGACGCTCTACCACTGAGCCAAACCGGTTTCGGCTCTCTCATCGATGTTTCTAACTATCTCTCTCCCTTCCTCTGTGTACAAAGTCAATAAAATATATTAAAATAAATAAATAAATAAATAAATAAATAAATAAATAAATAAATAAAATACTGAGATTCTTTAAATAAATAAATAAATAAATACATAAATAAATACATAAATAAATATGGACCATAAACACTGGGTGGCAAGGGAAAGCACTGTCTCAGGAACAAGGCCTGGGTATGGTCTGCTAGGTGGCCAGAGCCACAGGGAGACTTGAGGCTGGAGGCCAGTGGGGAAGCCTTTTGGATTGTCCACGCGACAAAATGGGAAAGCACTGATCTAGCTGCATACAGAGCCCCAGAGAGAGAATGGACAAGGCAGAACTGCCTGGGTGTGGAGAATGAGATGCCATATGCAAGGGGGGATGGGCAGGGGAAAAGGAGGCCAGGACCGCGAGGAAAGTTCTGGGCATCGTGCATATTGGGACTCCTGTGTCCAGAGTGATAGGCTGAGCCCCAGAGGGGCAGAGGAGCAGGCAGGTTTCAAGTTCAAGTGTGCAAGTGAGATTCTCGGGAAGATCAACAAAGGTCTGAGGCATACATTCAATATCAATCATTTTCTGGAGGCAATGAATGTCAGGGTGTTTCATGAATGTCAGGGTGTTTTTCCTTCAGCAGCACCATCAGTTTTGTTCTTGTTTGACCCCTGCAGGCACGTGTGGGTACGTGGGCCCTGTGTGTTGAGAAATAATGCTGTGTTGAAATTGATTACCAGCTGGAGCAGTCTCCGAGCTGGGGAGCAGTTGCGAGTTGAGGGGGTGGAGTGGTAGAGGCACCTAAGTAAAGGTCAGAAGGTTGTCGCTGGCACTGGACCAAGGGAGTGACCTACAGCTTAATGCTAGGAAGCTCAATCAAACAACCCCAAGGAGACTGAAGAGGGTGACAGTGAGACCTCCCTCCCCCAACCCACTTCCAGGTGGCAGAGTGACCAATCCCACTCAGCCACACTTCTCAGCTTAAGCATTTCTGCTCTGAGGTCTTCCCCGACCTGCCTTCCACCCTTGCCCAAATGCAGCCTCCTTCCTTAGTACCACCCTTAGCCCTCCTCCCTCTGGAACCTCCCTCCGTGGGTGCAGTTTTCTCCAGAATGGTAAACGCCCTTTACATAGTCTGCACAATTCCAGCGCAACTGTCATCCTTTTTGTCCTCATGTCCTCCTCGTAGTCCCTAGCGTATGTTAGGTCCTCCGTCGACTTTTGTTGAAGGAATGAGGGCGGGAGGTGGGAGAGTTACACATGCACACCTTCATTGACCTCTTGCCTCTGTGCCTTTCGCTTCCAGACCTGTGAGCAACCTCAGGCAGGGGCTGGGTCTGACTCACCTCTTTTTCCGGCTCCCTCGGGGCCTGGGACAGAGTGGGTACTCAGTAGAAGTTTGTTGAATCAATTTATGGAAAATGGCTTAGCTTCATTTATGCTGATGGAGCCCTCCTGAGTTGGAACTGGCTCGGCTTCTTCCCATATCGGGCCCAAGTTAGAGTCCCTCTGCATTTACTTCATGACGCATACCACTGTGGCAGGCAGAGCATGCAGCTTTATCACTGCCTTTTTTACCTGATGTGTGCGCAAGTGTGCACAGTGAAGCTCTGTACCTGAAAGTATTTTCAAAAATGCCTAACTCATAACACGTGCCCAAGAAATGTCTGCTGAAGAAATGAATTATTCTTTTTCACCAGGCCCTTCAAAATAGTCTTCATGTAACTTGGGGAATATAGAGAATGCAGATGGGATGGTTTTCCACCAGAGGGAGCAGTTTCGCATGGCTGACGCAGTGCAGGTGGAGGGAGGGAATACCGCACTGTGCTCCGCTTCTCACTCCTCCAGAGGCAGGCAGGGCAGGGGAGCTCTGACAGGTCTGAGATGTGGTCCTAACAGTGGTGAGCGGAGAGGGCCAGACATGACTGTCTCTTGAGTTTGAAGACGCCAAATTGCAAGGCCAAGGTGAAGCTTCCCTTTACCCCCAGGGCGAGGGCAACAGTCAGGACAGAGAAGCCTGTGGCATAACTGAATGGACTGACCGTAAAAGGGCGGGGTTAGTTTGTTTGCCCTCAAAGACACTATTTATTTCATCAAAGTCAGGCAGGATGATCTGTTGAGCGGTAAGTAATCAGCGCAGAGCATGAATCCACACACATTTCCACAGTGAGCTGCAGACGATGGCCTGGCTGAAGTCAAGATTTGGGGCATTCCGGGCTGAGCTCACAGAGCGACCGGAACCAGCCTCCACGTTCCCCTGAGCAGAGGGCAGAATGTTAGCACCAGACTGTCTTTATCTGCTAGTTTGTTTGTTTTTTAATTTTGATTGAACATCTGTGCTATGCCAAGTCCTATGCCAAGTATTTGCGTTTTGAGTTTTCTTTGTATTGAGGAGAAAAATTACTGGTTTGGGAGAAGAGAAGGGAGGATGTGCGCCCCACCTCCCTCGCTGTGTGTGGTGGAAGTGGGGTGACATCCTTCCCCGGGGAAGGCCACGGGAAAGCAGAATTCTCAGGCAGAATCCGGTGAAAACCGGCCAGGAGTGGCTGAGGGGGCCGTGTGTGTCAGTGATGGAGAAGCCAGACAACGATCTCACCTCCTTTTTGTTGAGAACCCCACCTTCCCAGCTCCAAACCTGCCAGCGGCCTGACCGCATTCTCTGCTCCTTCCCATCACGTGGCAGCGTCCCGGCCCCACCACCTCTTTCCGGCTCCTTCCCTCAGACTTCTCCCCCGCTGTTCCCACTCCCCGTTCTTCTGAGCACCATCTCCATGGACGTGCAAATGTGCTCTCTATCTCCCACCTTGACAGCAGTCTCCTTGGTAATCTGTGGATTAAAAGAGATTTTAGCCGGAACCTGTTTGGCTCAGTAGATAGAGCGTCAGCCTGCTCTTCCAGTCAAGGGCATGTACCTTGGTTGCAGGCGTATCCCCAGTAGGGGGTGTGCAAGAGGCAGCTGATAGATGACTCTCTCTCATTGATGTTTCTAACTCTCTATCTCTCTCCCTTCCTCTCTGTAAAAACATCAATAAAATATATTTTTTTAAAAAGAGAGAGATTTCAAAGACAGGTCCTCCGAAAAAAGGTAAAATGCAGTCAGTGTTTGAGGATGCATATCCCTCCTTGACCCCAACCTCCCCTCCAGCTACTCATTTTTCCATTTTCTCCCTGCTCCATCTCTCAGCTACGTATTGGTCAATAGCAACTCAACTCTCTCCTCTTGGTTTCTGTAATATCACTTCCAGATCTCCTCCAGCCTGCTGGTTTGC